TGTTAAAGACAAAGAGAGACTCTTAAAAGCAGCAAGGGCCCTGGCCAGTTTGGCTCAGCGGTTAGAGTGTCGGCCTGTGGTCCAGAGAGACCTGGGTTCGGTTCCCACTAAGGGCATGTACCTCGGTTGCAGTTTGTCCCTGGCCCTGGTTGGGTCGTGTGGATGGCAACCACTCGATGTGTCCCTTTCACGCCAATGTTTCTCTCTCTCTCTCTCTCTCCCTCCCACTCTATCTGAACAAAATATCAAAAAATGTCCTCGGGTGAGGATAAAGAAAAAAGCAGCAAGGGAAAGGCAGTTAATTACCTAAAAGGGAGCTCCCATAAGACTGTCAAAAGATTTCTCAAAAGAAATTTTGCAAGCCAGAAGCGAATTAAAGTGCCCTGGTCAGTTTGGCTCAGTGGTTACAGTGTCAACCTGTGGACCAGAGAGTCCCAGGTTCGGTTCCTGCTAAGGGCACATACCTCAGTTGTGGTTTGTCCCGTGCCCTGGTTGGGGTCATGTGGGTGGCAGTCACTCGATGTGTCTCTCACATCGATGTTTTTCTCTCTCTCTTCCTCCCTCTCTATTAAGATAAATGCAAAAGCGTCTTCAGGTGAGGAATAAAAGAAAATAAATTTTTTTAAAGAAATAGTTAAAATGATAAAAAGCAAAGACCTACAACCAAGACTACTCTATCCTGCAAAGCTATCATTTAGAATCGATGACCATATAAATAATTTCTCAGACAAGAAAAAGCTAAAGGAGTTCATCACCACCAAACCAGTATTATATGAAATGTTGAAGGGTCTTCTTGCAGAAGAACAAAAATATGAACAATAAAATGGCAATAAATACATATCTATCAACAATTGAATCTACAAACAAAATGAGCAGGCAGGACAGAAACAGACTCATAGATATAGAGAAATTTATTGGATGCCAGATGGGAGGGGCTAGGGAGATGGGTGAAAAACGATGAAGGGATTAAGAAATACAGATTGGTTGTTAGACTGATGAACCTCAAAGAGAAGAGGGGAGGAAGGGTGGGAAGAGATAAACCAAGAACATTTGCATATATGCATAACCAGTGGACACAGGCAACAGTGTGGGGAAGGCAGGAGGGGGGTGGGAGTGAGGAGAAGGGGTCAATGGGTGAAAAGGTAGGCCTTCTGTAATACACGCAACAATAAAGATAAGAGAAAGAAGAAAGAAAGAAAGAAAGAAAGAAAGAAGAAAGGAAGAAAGGAAGAAGGAAGAAAGGAAGAAAGGAAGAAAGGAAGAAAGGAAGAAGGAAGAAGGAAGAAAGGAAGAAAGAAAGAAGAAGAAAGAAAGAAAGAAAGAAAGAAAGAAAGAAAGAAAGAAGAGCGAGCGAGCCCTGGCCAGTTTGGCTCAGCGGTTGGAGCATTGACTCTTGGACGAATGAGTCGAGGGTTCGGTTCCAGTCAAGGGCAGGTACCTCGGTTGTTCATCCCTGCCCTGGTCGGGGTCCTGTGGGAGGCAACCAGTGGATGTATCCTCACATCGATGTTTCTCTCTCTCCCATCCACTCCATCTGAAGATAAATAGAAAAATACCCTCAGGTGAGGATTGAAAAAAAAAAAAAATGGAGAGAGCCGACTCAGTACCAGGCCCAGGGCTGAGGGGATGGGGAAGGCCAACAGAACAGCTCCCTCTGTGCGGCCCCCTCAGGAAACACAAAACCTGTTTCTCCACACACACGCGCAAGAATTTAAAGGCATTACACGGGACCAGAATGAAAGACCCCCAAGTGAAAAGAGGCTCCTTGGGGAGCACAGGGGAATGCCCTTCCTTACTCGGACACTCTGTGTTGAGTGAGGGTTTTTCATGAGAACGTCTCCAGGTATTACTCATAGAACATCACACAGAACGAATGCTGAGCCCAGTGCTGAGCGCTTTCTGGGTCTCAGAGCACTTTCATATCCAGATCTGGGGGGCTGGGCCGCTCTGCCCCCAGGGGCTGCCCCCTGTAACACCCAGCTTGTCCAACAGGCCTTGACTTTCCTCACTTCCCCCACCCTGTCCCCGAGGCATGAAGGGCACAGGCCACGCTTTGCAGTCGGCTGAACACAGACCCTGTCCGGGCCCCTCATATGTGCTGGGTCATCCCTCTGTCCCCCAGAGCCTCGCTTTCGCCATCTGCAAACACGAACCTCATTACAGTGCCAGGGTCAGGGCCACTGGCAGGGTGTCTTGAGGGGAGTTTTGGGGGCAAAAATCAAGGGAGACTCCCTTCTCTCTGACATACCCCAAATTAATCATCTTTTTAAAAAACTCATCAGTGAATGAAAACTTGAGAAAACTAAGGGATTTTCAGCAACAAAGTCTCTTATTTTCTACTCAAGAATACATTGAGGTGATGACGCCAAGCTATTTAAAGTAAAAACTATTAAAAGAACAAGGACAATTTGCAAGAACCACATCGAATTTAGAAACTAACTTCTCTCTCGGTCACATCTCAAAATCAAAAAGTGATGTAGAAGACTTGAACAAAGAAATTAACAAACAACTTAACTGCTAAGAAAAAGAAAAGAATACATTGAGGAGTAACCTGACATTTACCACATTGGTCTAATGGCGAAATTTCTCTTTTTAACTAAGAAGTCATCCAAGCAGAACCTTGAGGCCTCCCCCCTTCCCCATTTAGGAGGCTTAAGTGAAAAGGTTTGCGAGGGTCAGGCACCTGCACAGACCCCTGACACGAGTCCCACAGGCCATTTGCTGTCGCCAGCTTTGTCCTTGGCACCTGCCCTGTTCGGGCAAAAGGAGGCACCCAGTAGATATTCTGGCCAATGAGTACCCCTGCTTCACCCCCAGGGCTGACCGTGCCAACGTGCAGGAGTGCCGATATGCAACTCCCCGCTCTGGCTTGGGCCCCAAGGGCCACCTCCTCTGCTCTCTGCCTGAGGAGTCAGAGGTGGCCCATATACATGACCTCAGACCTGGCCCATACTCTCCCAGGATCAGTTCCCTCCTGGGTTCCCATAGGCCTCCGCCTGCTCTGCCGGAATGTCTGGCACGAGGTTTAAGTGGGGGCTCTGCAGTCCTGAGGGTGACAGGTAATGACACGAGTGGTGATAGGGGCTCAGTCTTCTCCCCTTGCCCCTGCCCCTCTGCCCCACAGGAGGGCCTTCCCTGCCTGGGCTCCTGTCCAGGCTCCTGGCTCCTCCACCCCCTCACCACACACCCACACCCACTTCTCCTTTGCAGCTGCTCCACCACCTACACCTTCCTGCCGTGGGGTTGCTGGCCCGTGGGCAGGGGCTGGAGAGGCAGTGGACCAGGGCTCCGCAAGGCTGGCCCACTTGGGGTTCTGTGTGAGTCCTCAGGGTCCCCCAAGACAGAACCCCAGGACCAGCCTTGCTTCCCTCACTCCACAGCATTACTCACTCCTCCTAAACATCGGAGACATGGCCCTGCCCTGGACCACGGTGCCAGCCTCCTTGCTGCTCCGCTCACCCGTCCGGTCTCCAACTCCACGGCAGCCACAGACACGGTCCCTCCCAAAGCACAGCTCAGAGGGTCTGTCCCTCCACTCAGATACCTCCTGGGGCTCCTCACTGCCTGGCCGCCTGTGGCCACAGCCTCAGGCTCCTTCCCTCCCTCTCCACTGCTCAGCATACCCTGAGGCAGGGGCCATGCCCGGCCCAGAGAAAGCTCCCCTTTCCTACTCCAGGCCTTTGCCCTTACTGGTCCCTCTCCCTAGAAGGTTTCCCTGGTCCTTATATCTGCTAAAGAAGCGCTCCTGCCCCCCAAGCTCCCACCCTGTCCCCGGGACAGTCACTTCTTTCTCTGTGCCCCCCACCCTAGAGCGCTGGGCTGGCGTGGCTCACCATGAGGCCCTGAGCCCGAGCTCCATGCTGAGAATCTCTGCCAGCCCTGGGAAGGCCTAGGGAGCTTGTGTGTGTGTGTGTCTGAGAGTCAGTCTGGGGGACACGGGTGAGAGGCAAGTGGGGAAACCCAAACACTGTGGAGTAAAGACCAACAGGAGGGGCCTCAGTGAGACACAGAGGTGAGCAGCCCAGGACACGCACAGTCCTGGAAAAGGTCGGGGTGGGTGAGCCACCTGCTGGGTCCTGGCCTGCCTGTCCAGCTGTTGATCTTTCTCCTCCCTGCTTGGGATCTGGAGACTCGGCTGTCTCTGGGCCGTTGGCTGCTCACCCCCTGCGCCCTCTGTGCTCGCAGCTCGGCCAGAGGCTCCTAGCTAACATACAGATCTGTGACGTTCCCTGCTTAAAGCCCTGCATGGCTCCCCAGGGCCTTCTGGCCAGAGTCCTAGCTCCTAACCCTCAGTCAAGGCCAGGCCAGCCCTCTGGTTATAGCACTCCCCGGCCTTCGTATTTGGGCCTCGGCCTCGAGGCCTTTGCTCACCCTGGGCCCTTCTCCTTCAAGCTTCTCTCCATAGGCCCCGCTCCACCCAGCAACCTCCTCCTCATCTCCAAAAAGCCTTCTTGCACCCTCTGTGGCGAGGACTAGCATGGTCTCCCCGTCACCACGGCAGTGTGGAAGTCCCTCAGGACACATCCAGTGTGGGAACGCAGGGTGTGACTGATGAACTGAAGCAGCTCTGCCTGGGAAGGCAGGAGGGCTCCTCGGAGGAGGAGGCAGGTGTGGGGAGATGGCTGGTGGGGATTATCTGGGGCTATAAGCTGGCCTTGGGAGCAGGACAGAGGAAGCCACCGCGAGGTCTGCGCACTGGCTGCAGGGCCGGTCCTCTGCTGCCCGACCGCAGGCCCTTAGCCTAGTCCCAGTCCCGGCAGAGGGCCGCCCGGCAGGCGACTGGGGTGATGGTTGAGTGGTTGAATGGAGGAACCACAGGGAGAAAGAGAAGGTCTGGGGTGCAGGGCCCTGGGGCCCGGGCTCAGAGAAGTCCCACCCCAGCGGTTCCACCCGGGCGGGCAGGAGGGCGGTTCTGGGGCGCTGATCGTGGCCCCTCCCAGCTCCCGCCGGTGGCAGCGAAGGCGGCTGGGTCCCCGCCGGCTGTGCGGCGCTCAGGCAGCATGAGGCGAGCGGCGAGGAGCCCACGGGGCAAGGGCGGCCCGGCCCCCACGCAGTGCGTCCAGACCCTGTGCTTCGACCCGCTGGTCCGCGGCTGCGTGGCCTGCAGGCTCCTACGGACGCCGGAGCCCGGACCGCGTAAGAGCCGGCTCACCGACGGGGCCGCGGGGAGGCCTGGGGAGGAGGGGGACGGTCGGCCGCCACGGGGACCCCCGCCGGAGCCGGCGCAGAGCACCCCTCGGCCGGGACGGAGGGGCAACGAGTGGCGGGGGCGGGGGCGGGGGCCTCGACGGGCCCAGCCAGCACCGCGTGGCCCCCGCCGCCCCTGCCCTCCCTGCCCGCCCCCCGCGCGCCCCCTGCTGGACCCCTCTCTCAACCCCTCCCCTCGTCCGTCCCCAGCAGCCGAGCCGAGCAGCCTGGCGCCCGGGACCGCGGTGCAGCCGCAGGAGTCGGCGGGCTCGGGGGTGGCGGGCCCCGGCGAGGCGCTGCCGCTCCCCGCGCTGCTCTTCGGCGTCCCCGCGCTGCTGGGCCTGGCGCTGGCCCTGGTCCTGGTGTCCGTGGTGAGCTGCAGGCGGCGGCGGCTCCGAGGGGCGGCTCCCTCCGAGGCCCCGGACGGAGACGGTAAGTTCCGCGTCTAGGGGCCGAGGGCATGCCCAGTCGGAGAGGGTCCCACCGTGAGGGATGGAGGCAGTGTAAAGGGGGCAGGGCTCTGGGGGATGCAAAAAAGGGGGGGAAAGAGCTGCTCTGAGCATCTCAGGCAGAGACCCCAGTTCAAGTGAGGGACACAGCTGTGGCGTCCGAGACCCACGTGAGGATGAGACACAGGCTGGGGAGCCCAGTGAGAAAGAGGCGGGTCCTGTCCTCTCGGGGTGGCTAGACTGGCTGCCATACTTCCTCTCTCCTCTGTCAGCACCCCATTTTGCTGCCCTCTCAGCACTTCCTGTCCTGAGGGCTGGTCTTATGTCACCCCTGTAGCGGGGCTTGGCCCATTTATCTCTCAGTGGGAGGGCTGTCCTGCCAGAGAGGCTGTGACCCAATCCTGACCCTGCCTCCCCCCCACCAGAGCCCCTAGACAATGTCATCATCCTCTCTTCTGGACCCCTTGATGCCACAGCTCCTGTCTGGCCTCCACCCGGAGAAAATCCAACCACCATCCCTCCTGCCCACAATGTTCCTGTGCCAGCCACAGAGCTGGGCTCCACTGAGCTGGTGACCACCAAGACAGCTGGCCCTGAGCAACAGTAGCAATGGAAGGGGCAGGAGGTGGCCCCTGCCCTCCCTGTGGGCCATCCGCCAGGGGATTGGAGGTTTGGTTCGGCTCTTCATCCCAGCGTCCACCTGCCCCTTTCTGGGAACCAGGCTGCTCCCCAGCTAACCCTGCAGGACACAGACACTGCACCCCTCAGGGTTCAGCTGGCACGGTACCCTATGGCACGTCAGTGTTTGGCTTAAAACCCTACCATCTTTGAGCCCTTGAAGTTTGTGACTGAGCACCTGTGCTTTTGAGTTGTCAGGGCACTTTGAGTAGGAGGCTTTTCCTTTAGAGTGGGGAAGCCACCATTAAGCCAGAATGAACCCAGGAGCAGGACCATGTGGGAAGAGGCACACTTTGTAGCTGGGGATTGTATTTCTTTAATACTTGCTCTCAGAGCTGCCCTGCTTTCCAGCTGATGCACATGGCTGCAGCGCTGACCAAAAGCCAATCAATGGGTTTGCTTTGGGATTTAATACAAGCTGATTTGAAGAAGTAGCCTGGATTGTGCTGATTCTCAGGTGTCTGTACCCCAGTGTCAACCCTGAGCTTAGCCCAGTCCGCTAGGACCTGTGATACCATTTGCGCTCCAGGGGCAGCTTCCAGAGCCCAAGGCTTGCACTTGGGATGAGTCTGCAGCTTCTGGGAGGGACTGCACTCATGCTGAAGGATCACTGACAGCCATCCCCCTCAGAGACCCCCTGGGTCCCAGCTACCTCCAAAGCTCACTCAGCCGGACACAGGGCAGGGCCCAGGACCTTCAACATGCTTCTTCATAGGCCTGTGGCCTTGAACCAACAGGACCAGATATTTCTTGAGCTCCTTTCCCTCTGTGGCCTGCCCTCCCCAGGCACTGGCCCAAGTGCTGGAGTCACTTGGCCAGTCGGTGCCAACCCGAGATCACCCACCATCCCAGTAGAACTGCCTCCTGGTGGTGAGGCCGCTTGCTCTGGGTGGGGATGAGGATTCGAGCCCAGTTCTGGAACACACTGTGCTTAGCCTCTCCTGCCAGCCCTCCTGCCCAGAACTCCACCCTGGAAAGCACTTTGGAACTTCTTACAACTCAGCATCTTTGGAAGGATCACTGGACAGGGAATCAGAAGAAGGGGTTCTGGATACCATTTTGTCCCACTGTAGGACTTTGGCCACACATCAACGTTTCCAGCTTGCCTCTTCCTGACTTGACATCAGAGGTGCCCAGCCAATACTCGTCCTTCCTTCCGAGCACAGAAGACAGTCAGCAGCCTGCAGCATGCAGAGCCCCCAGGACCTGGACACTCACGTCTAAGTGTCTAAGTCTCTTCCTAGCCACCACCCCCCGAACCCATCTCAGATGCCCCTCCTTCCAGGGAGCCAGGTAGCTGGAGTGAGATCAGGTGGTAGGCAGGCAGGAGAGTGAGGGGCAGACCCCAATCATCAACTCTCCTCCATCTCGGGGGTTGGGGGAGTCTGGGCTGTTTCTGGCCGCTTCATCCCCCAACCCACCTTTTCCACCAGAGCCCCAGAGCAGGCGGCTGGACCCTGGAGGTGAAACAAGTGGTTGAAACTCCTCTGGGGCCTAGACATGCAAACCTCGGGTACCACTGTGTCCCGGCTGAGCCCCTGTGCAGCTTCCTCTCCAGTCTCGGTTTCCTTTTCTGAAAAATGAGGGGCTGGATGCAAAGTGGAGAAGGGCTGGAAGGAACCTTAGAGAATCCTCATGCCCTCCCCCATTTTGCAGATGAGGAAACTGGGGCCAGAGAAAGAAAAGACTTGGTGTCATTGTCATCCAGCAAAGAGCAGAAGGGGAGTTTGTTAGGGAAGAACCAGGAGCAGAGGCCAGGGAGAGGTGGGCAAGGGGGGGTGAGTCTCCCCCAGGCCCCGAAACGGACCCCACCTCCCAGGGGCCTCCGTCCTCTGGCCCTCTGTCCTAGGCATTGCTTTCAAGGAACCTTGGCAAGGTCACCGCATTTGACCTTGATGGTAGAACCTAGAGGAGGGGTGGGGGTGTTTGTGTTTGCTTCAAACAAATGTATTTTATTTAAAAAATCAAGGAATGTATTTTGTAGACATTTTGGGAAGTTTCAGACAGCAATCCAGATGGAGTCCACAGAGAAATGACCCCAAATCCAGCAACACCAGGCCCAAGTGGTGGATTTCCTACATAAGCGTAATCATTCTATACATACAAGTTAATACCATGACTGTCACATTTGGTGAGTTTCCTCTTTAAGCACTTCATAAACAAGATGAAAACCTTGCAAATGTTGAAACGTTTGCCACTGGAGCACTCTGTTCTTTCCAGTTGTCACAGTGGTCCCCCTTATCCACAGTTTCCCTTTTGGTTATCTGGGGTCAACCATGGGCCAAAAATATTAAATGTAAGATTCCAGAAATAAACAATGTGTATGTTTTATTTTATTATTATCATTTTTTGTTAATCCTTACCCGAGGTTATTTTTTCATCGATTTTTAGACAGAGTGGGTGGAAGGGGGAGAGGTGGAGAGAGAGAGAGAGAGAGAGAGAGAGAGAAACATCCATGTGAGAGACATATTGACTGGTTGCCTCCCGCATGACCGAGGCTGGGAATCGAACTTGCAACCCAGGTATGTGCTCTTGACCGGGAATCGAACCTGAGACCCTTCCATCCTAACGGCTGAGCGAAACCAGCCAGGGCAACAATGTGTAAGTTTTAAATCGCACACTGTTCTAAGTAGGGCAATGGACTCTTGCGATGTCCTGCTCTGACCTGCCTGGGATGAATCATCCCTTTGACCAGTGTCTCCATACTGTACACACTCCTGCCCCTTAGTCACCTAGCCATCTCGGTTATCAGAGACAATGCTGGTGTTTAAGTCACCCTTATTCTACTTAATAATGGCCCCAAAGGACCAGAGGAGAGAGCGGGAAACACGTTCGGGCCCATGGCACCGTGTTGCGTCAGAAAGATTGAGCCCGTACGGAGGCTGCGGAGTGGCCACACTCACATACCTTTTATTACAGTATATTGTTAGAATTGTTCTGTTTGACTATAAGTATTGTTAATCTCTTACTGTACCTAATTTATAAATTAAAGTTTATCATAGGTATGTGTGTAGGAAAAAACAGCATATATAGGCTTCGGTACTATCGCTGGTTTCTGGCATTCACTGGGGTCTTGAACCCATTCTCCCACGGATAAGGGGACTGCTCTATGTTGTAGGTAAGGCAGTAGCATCTTCTTGTACTTAAATCTTTGCCTGAGTCTCTGTGTCCCAGAAGAAGAGTTGTTACAACCAAAGGCTTTGACCTTTTTAAAAGCCCCTGGTGGTTGAATTGTTTTTCTGCAAATCTGGACCAGTTCATGTCCATGAAGGAGGATTTTATGGCCCATTTTGCTGATAGGAACAGAGAGGCCCAGAGAGGTGAAGGAATCTGGCCAGAGCTACAATAAGCTGCGGTGGAGCTGGGCTAGACCCAGGCTCCAGTCCCGGCCCCGGCCCCGGTCCCATCCAGAAGGTGACTGACCCAGGTGCTCTCCTTGAGGGGCTGACTGCAGGGCTTGACCGTAGGCCTTACTCCTTGCTTTCACCTGTACTCAAAGATTTCTCTCTCCAACTGGTCTCTTTTGGCAGTAAGAGGGATCCAAGATAGACTCTGGAAGAACTGCTTGTTGGGGTGGGAACAGAGGGAAGCAGTCCCCCCACCCCCTAGCCTGTGGGTCTGGCCAGTTTTTCCTGAAGGAGGGTCTGGGGTGGGGCTGGCTGAAGTCTCAGTTCCTCCTGGGGTTTCCTGCAGGCACCTTTCACTTCCTGCCCTGCAGCCCTGGGCTGGGGTGGGGGTGGGGAGGCCCAGCTGGTGAGGCCAGGAAGGAGGGACCTGACTCCTTACCTCCCTCTGTCTCAGCAAGGATGGCCCTACACAGCCCTTACCTTTAGAAGCTGGTGGCATCTCTCTGGGCCTGCCTCCCAATCTTCAACATGGAGCCTGAGGGCCACCCAACTGCTCAAGATTGAAGAGGTCATGTGGCAAGTAGGGTCTCCACCTAGGAATGCTTCCATCTCCTTCCTTCCCTGGGACACAGAGACTTCCTGCCCAGAGCCCCCAGCCTTTAGCAACCTCCTCTGGGAAGTCAGTTTCCCAGAGCTGGTTACTACCAGCTTACCACTGCATCACTACTATTCATGGGTCACACTGGATCCCGGACGAGCCTGCCTGTGCCAGGGCCACTCTGGGTGGTGCCTGAGGTCATCTCCAGGCCCTGCCTTTGGGTCCTGGTCTGATGGGAGAGACAGAGTAGGACATAATGATGACAGAGTATCCCTGCCAGGGCCGGGAATGTCCCAAGCAGAGGAGTGACTAACCAGCATCCAGGGACTGTGGAAGAGTCGAGGTGTGTTCTGAATACTGAGGCAGTTCTCCCTGGGAATGGAGCAGAGAACTGGCACCCCTGCCCCAGGCTGCTCGAAGCCAAGGTCTCAAGGAGAGGGGACAGGAGGGTCAAGTAGCAGGGGCGGGGGGGGGGGGGCTGGAGTGTTGGGCAGCTTGGCCAGAGTACCAGGACTGGCTATGTTAAGAGCCTTCTTTGTGCTGTGCCTGCCCGGGGCACACAGGGGCAGCCACCCTCAGGAACCCCCGAGGGCTCCTCCAGCCCCCTATATTTGGTGTCACCCTTTCCTGAGGCCACCAGACCCCCCTGGCATTCCTCTAGGCGGAATGAGCTCCTACCTGCTCTGCTGTGGGTGGCTCAGGCCAAATTCTTCCTTACCTAGAGCTGAAACTGACCTCTCCAATCTGTGCCCCTCCCCAGCTGCCGGGTCCTGACCCGGGGTCAGGGTAGGGTAGGAGCAACAGCCCAGGGTCACACGGAGAGTGGGAAGAAGCCAGGAAGACACAGTTGCCCGTGTTCAGGCTCTGCTCTTCCCCGGCAGGTGGGGAAGCTGCCCTGGGAACACAGCAGGGGTCCCAGCGCCCAGAAGGCCTCTGAGCATCTCTTCACTCCTTTGAGCTGCACCGACTCTGGGGTCCGGCCCCACGTCCAGACGGATCCAGGACGGTGCCAGGGAAAGTCTACCTGCGCGGTTCCTGCGGTCAGCCACAGTGGCACCTTGACTGCCAACCGCTTGGCGCCGGGACCTGGACTCGGTTCCGGAAGGGACGGGGCCCGGGCGGGAGGCACGGCAGGGGGCGGGGTCGAGGAGAGGGGTGGGGCGGAGGTACCCAGGCCTCTGAGTTGCCGGAAAGGGGCGGGGCCAAAGGCAAGTAGAAGAGGCAGGGGTTCAAGGCGGGGGGCGGAGGAGGGCCGAGGGAAAAGGGAGTAATCCGGTGGTCGATGGGAACAAGGTCAGCCATACACTTCTCCAAAGCTGGTCTCCGCGCTCACACGGGGTCCCGGTCCCCACGTGCCTCCCGAGCCAGAGAGACCCAGACGCAGCGCGTGTCCCGGACTTTGCGGGGAGGTGTGTGTGCGGGCTCAGGACGCCTCCCCCCGCATTCTGGGCTCAGAGCTGACCTGGCAGTTGTGGCCCAGGAACCTGCGGGCAGGGCGGGCGTGACCCAGGTGGACACACTGTGTGGGTCTGCGGAGCCCTGTTCTCTCTGGATCTGTTTCCATCCCAGGGTCCTGGTGGCCAGCTCCGGACTTGTGTGTTCACTGGGGCCTTTGGAGGATCCCGAGGGGTGGAACAAATTGGGGGGGACTCCAGGCAGAGGGGTTAACTGTGATGTGTGCAGCAGGACTCCCCAAGGCTGGGGAGCGGAGGGCAGAGCTGGGGAGAGGGTGCTTGGGGAATTGGAGCAGGAAGCTAAGCCCAGCTCCCAGTACCCTGATCCACTACTCCCTCTACTCCCTCACGACCTCAGGAGCCCCAGCACCCCCTCCCTCCCACAGGCAGCTGGAGCCTGAGTCACCAGCTGCCTCTCCGGGAGACAAAGGAGTGGAGGGCCCTCCCCTCCAGACCCCCTTCCTATACTGGCATCCATCTGCGCCAGCAGGGAGTTCATAGCCTTCTGCCTACAGCCTCTGCCTCCCTCATGGAGGAAATGGAAGCCAAACGGGCTTGGGAGTGGGGGCTCTGAATTTGTGGATGGCACCCCCGGTGGCAATCTCCAGCTTCTCAGCCCAGCGGTGGTGAGGGCCCCCACTGAGGCTGCCTGTCTCTGAGTGCTTCCCAGTCAGGGACCCACTGGCTTCTCTCTGCAGCATTGTTGAAGAGATGCTAGCAGCCCATCTTGCAGACGAGGCCTAGAAAGGTGGAATGGCCCTATTAGAGCAGAAATTGCAGTCCACATTAGTTTGGTTCCAGAATGAAGGACAAGTAGGACTCTCAGTTTGAGTCGCTGGGAAGGCATCCCAGGAAGAGAAGCCCGCCTGTGGGAAGGCCCGGGGCTCATGCAGGAGTCAGGGTGCACCAGGCATTGGTCAGGTGTTCAGTCAGGTACTGGGTGTGCTGTCAGGATGTTGGAACACTGCTCTGGGCCAGGGTCCTCCAACTTCTCTCTGTTTGTACTGAAGTAGCCAGAAGGTAGGTTTGGGGCTCGCAGCGCAGGTTCCAGGCCAGACCCTGGCCTTCCTGGCTATGTGCCAGGCACAGCAGTCACTTCCCCTCTCTGGGTCTTCGGTTTCTCTCTAGGAAATCCCAAATCCCCTGGCCCAGGGTTGGGCAAACTGGTCACCGCCATCTAAAATGGGGACACTGAGGTGCAGCACAGGCTTTCCCTAACGCCCACAACCTCTCAGCACCCAGAGCTGGGTGCTGAGTGAGGGCTCAAGGAGATGTTTTCACAAGTGCATTCACACTGACACACACATGTGTACACATGTGCCCATGGTGCAGGGAAGGCACCCATAGTCACACTAGCCCCAGACATGTACTCTCACTCAAATTCATGAACACACAGACACCCGCACACTCAAGCTGCCAGCTCTCACAGCTGGGGGGTGGGGCAGGTGTCCTTCAGGCTCAGAGAAACGGCTCCTCTGCCCGCCCCGTGGGGCTCACTGCAGATGCCAAGGGTTATTTTAAGCCTGGATCAATGGACAATTTTTGGTGACACAGGCTGGGGGGGCGAGCAGAGGAGACAAGGAGCAAGTACTCTGGTGCCATGCTATGGAAGGAAACCCCAGGTCCAGGGACAGCAGCCTGGGCAAAGGGGTCACTCCAAAGCTGGGCCAGTCCATGTGTCAATCCCCTTGTGTGGCACATGGCAGGGTACATGGGGGTGGTGTTAGTTGAATAAATGATCAGCTCCCAGGGCTCAGCCAGCCAGCTGTGGTCTGTCTTTGCCTTTACTCCCTCCTACTCCCTCCCCACACCCCAGACTGTGTGTTCACATGAAGAGCGCAGTGGGTGACTGACATGGACCTGATAGATGTGGGCATCTATGGTTGCTGGCTGACCACTGAACCAGACAGAGACGGGTAGGAAGTGTGGGTGTGGGAGGAGTTGGAGGTTGGACATCAGTCCTTGGGGGTGGGAGGTGACTGAAATCTGCTGCTTTTTTGGACTAAGGGAGAGGGGCTCTGGGCCCAGTAGAGTCACCCTACTTGGGAAGAAGAGGTCACAGTCCGAGGAGGCAGAGACTAGACCCTTTAAACCTCGTGACCAGCAGTAGGGTGGAAAAAGGAGAATCAGCCGCCCTCAGAGTCTGGGTAACTTAGAGGGCAGCCTGGCAGAGTGTGTGTGGGGCACTGATACAAACCGGATTGTGCCATGGATTCTGTTTCCAGGAATACTCCCTAAGGAAGCAGAAAAGGATGCATCAGCAAATATAGCTACAAAGTTCTAAGCAGAATAACAACTGAAAGTTTGACATCAAAAAAGTAAACTAAGCCCTGGCTGGTGTGGCTCAGTGGTTGAGTGTCATCCCATGCACCAAAAGGTCACCAGTTTGATTTTTGGTCAGGGCACATGCCCAGGTTGTGGGCTTGATCCCCAGGAGCATGTAAGGGGAATGCAGGACACAGCTGATCAATGTTTCTCTCTCCCTAAAATCAATAAAAACATTAAAAAAAAATAAGTGAACTACGTGCCTGGCCCATGTGGCTCAGTGGACTAAGCATCAGCCATGCACTGAAGGATCTCGGGTTTGATTCCCAGGAAGGACATGTACCTGGGTTGCAGGTTCAATCCTGGGCAACCAATTAGTGTGTGTCTCTCTCACATCGATGTTTCTCTCTCTCTCTTCTTCTCCTCCCTTCCTCCCTCCCTTCCAGTTTCTGTGAAAAACAATGGCAAAAAATATCGTCGAGTAAGGATTAACAAAAAATTATTTGTTTTAAAGTGAAGTAAAAGGAGCCAAATGTATGGTGATGGAAAGTGATTTTTTTTTAAAGTAAAGTAAAAACCAGTAACAAAACAGTATGTAAAGTGGGACATGTTTTGGCATCAGTTGTTCCTGGTGATGGGATTAAGGTGATTTCATTTCATTCTTTTGCTCACTTTTTTTCTTTTTCTCAAAATTCGTAATAGTTTTTTTTAATGAGATAGGGTCATCAGGGCTGAATCAGAAGCTTGTTTGTGGGTGGAGGGGGGTGTGTGGCTGTCTTTGGCCAGGGCACAAGGAATCACCCTGAGGCGGTGGGTGTTGTAGAGAGGTCACCCCCCCTTCCTGTCTTCCCCACTAATACCTGAAATTAGTCTGTCAGCCCTGGTCTCAGCAACTGGACTTGATCCTCCTTAAAATGTAAATCCTTCTCCCTCTTCGCCCACCTCCTCCATTTTTATAAGCTGCTCCCAGTCCCTGAATGAAGAGAGGATGCAGAGAGGAGCAGTCCCTAGGAGCTCAAATTCTTCATTTTGTAGACACTAGAGACTAGTCACTTCATTCATTCAGCCAATATTTTGGTATTTCAGAGGCTCGCGCTCTGTGGAGACACTGGGCTAAACCGAAGCCTCTTGATGTTCCCATGTGGACAACCGGAGACACCATATTGACCCCTGCATGATGAATCTGCCCCCCTAGGAAGAGATTTTTATGTTAAGATGAGAAACGGAGGCAGAGAGAAGCAAAGAGCTAATGCTCGGTCATATTCTCCAGTAAAACCCAACTTCGGAAAACAAGACTGAGCATGCTCTCGGCCAATCCACGTTCCATACCCGCCCCACCACCTTGCCCAGGGTTAGGGTTAGGAGTGGAGGGTCCGCAGAGGGCCGCGCAGAGGGTCGGCCAATGGCTTCAGCCCCTCCTTGGATGGCAGGGGCTAGCCCAGTTTCCTCCCCCTTACACGCAGGGTGGCAGAGCCATCTCGGGATGGCTCGGACAAGGCCAAGACTATCGCTGCCATAGAAGTGTGGGGACACCCCAGGACCCCAATCCAGCGTCCTGGAGATTCTGAGACCAGGGCGCGAGCACCTGGGTTGACGCGGCGCCCCAGGCAGCGCGGAGGGGACCCATATTTGGCCCTGCGCAGCGGCTCTGCTGGCGGTTCCCTTCCCACTTGACAGGTGGGAAAACCGAGATGCAGAGGGAAAGGACCTTCCTCATGTCACCCCTCTCTGTTTCCATCAGAACTGGTGGAGGGGGCGAGCAGGAGGCGGAGGGGTGGGGGTGGCAACGACACACCCGTGGCTGCTCAGTCCCCTCACCTGTAAAACACAGGCGGGCCCGCGGCGGGCCGGGCGTCCGACGCAACAGTCCCGAGGGCTGTAGCTGAACCCCTAGAGTTTCCAGTTACAGGACTGATTTAGGGAGGCCCTGGCGGCGGCCGCGCTCCTCCCCCGGCTCTGCTCGCTCCTTCCCGCCCTCCTGCCCGCGCTCCCTCCTCCCCCGCCCGCCGAGCCCGCGCGGAGCGGGAGCCGGAGCCGCAGCCGCAGCCAGAGCGCGGGCAGCGCGGAGCGGGCGCGGGAAGGCGGCTGTGTCCGGCGGCCGGCCGCCCCGCTAGGCCCCAGACCTGCACACCCGCCGGCGGGGAGGCACGGGACTGTGCGCAGGCGGGGAGCCGCCGCCGGCCCGGAGGACGTCCCAGGCGCGGACTGGCAGGCTCGGGTCCGAGGTGAGCCCAGGCGGAGGGCGCGCTCACCGGTCCCGAGAGGTCAGGTGGAGCCCACCGGGTTTGGGGTTCTCGGAGGAGACTGACAGCCGAGGAGGCATCGTCCGGGAGCCAGCGCCGGGGCAGCGGGCCCCGCGAGAGCCGTGCGGGCGCGGAGGGAGCCGCCATGCGAGGGGCGCTGTAGCCGAAGGTGCGGGCCCGATGGAGCGGGCCAGGGTGCGGGTGCTGCGCGGTGGCCACGGCCCGCCGGGGCTCCGGCTCGCGCTCGGGCTGTTGCTGCTGCTGGCGCGGCCGCCGTCGGGTCGCGCGGGGGCCCCCGAGGCTCAGGAGCCCGCGGCACCCGGCACGGCGGCCCCGGTCGGCGGCGACCGCTGCCGCGGTTACTACGACGTGATGGGCCAGTGGGACCCGCCCTTCAACTGCAGCTCGGGCGCCTACAGCTTCTGCTGTGGCACGTGCGGCTACCGCTTTTGCTGCCACGACGGGCCACGGCGACTTGATCAGAGCCGCTGCTCCAACTACGACACGCCGGCCTGGGTGCAGACCGGCCGGCCGCCCGCGCGGGCCCGCGACACCGCCGTGCCCCGGGACCCGGGTCGCGAGCGCAGCCACACGGCCGTCTACGCGGTGTGCGGCGTCGCCGCGTTGCTGGTGCTGGTCGGCATCGGGGTGCGCCTGGGCCTGGAGAGAGCACACAGCCCGCGCGCGCGGCGCACGGTGACCAGGTGAGTGCACACCGCGCACCTGCCAGGTTACGGCCGGGGATCCCCGAACATTCCGCGTGGACGGCCGTGCCTGCCTGGTGGGCATCTCCTTGCGACCCTTCGAACTCTGGTCCTCTTAACAGCCCCCTCCTCCTGGTTCTTCCTCCGGGTCTCTGTCTCCAGGTCTGCTCCCACCCCCCTATCCCCACGGAGGGAGACAGCTGATACCGCCCTGTCTCCCCTTGACCTTCCAGCGGAACTGGGTGCTGGGCCACCTCCTCCGCGGCACCCCGCCTCCTCCGAGTGGGCGGGGAGGGCTGGTCGCCTAACAGAGGGCAAGATGTCCGCCCAGGGGAGGGGGCCTGGGGCCTGAGCCCCATTAGCGCGGGGTGGGAGCGGGGGCTGATGTAGTGTTGGGTGTCTTGGGCCCCTAGGGAATGGAGGGAGAGGAATGTTCTGTACTTCTCTTGGCTCTCTCCTTCCAGTTTCTCACCTCACTTTTCCCTCCCTCCTTCCATCTCCCTTCCTGCCCTCTCATAACTGTGACTCAGGTCTGACCTTTCCCTGGGGTTTCAGAAGGCCTCCCCAACTCACCCCACTCAATACCCATAGGGCAGGGTCAGGGTCTCCCTGCTTAGAAAGGGTTCCATGAATACGTGGGAGGCTGAGACAGGTGCTGGCTGAGTTCGAGCTTTGTGTAAAGTGGGATGTACCTTCCTCACTGGGTTAGGGATTCAGGGATTCAGTGTCGACCCTGGAACCCTCACCCACACCCACACACTCACATGCCCCCAGCCACCTTCATATCCTGGGGTCTTGGTCCTCCTCACTCACCCAGGTTCTGTCTCCCTTGGGCATGTAGGCTGCATGTGACAGGCTGGTATTTAGAAGTGCCAATAGAGAGAAGCCCCCATGCCTGGGTAGGCCAGCTGTGGATGCTTCCCCCCTCCTAGACCTCAGGGACAGAGGATGAGTGCTTCCTTGGCACTCCACAGTACCCCTTGTCCCCAGACCATTTAGTCCACACCTCCCAGACAGTTGCAGGGCAGAGCTGGGTGGGGAACCCTGGTCTCAATTCTGTGCTGCGTTTGTGATGTGGAGGTTCTCAGGCTGGGTCCTGAATGCTGCAGGGGCAGGGCCTGGGGCTTGGAGTCCCTCATGCTGGGTGAGGGGAGAGAATGGACCATGTCCTTGACCAGAGTAGGGCAGCAGGAACTGAGGGCTATGATGGTATAGAGGGGGTGACTGGGGCAGCCTAGCTGACATGTTCACCTTGAACCTACTTCATCTGCCCAGGTCTGGTGAACCTTCAGGAAGCCCTGGCCCACCCCTAAGGTGCTATATGGCAGGGTCAGTCCTTTCTTCTCTGAGGTTCAGGTTCCCATGTGCCCTGACTCCCTTTTCTCCTCTGGGGAGACCTGGAACCAACCTGAGCTCACGTGTGGGTGTGCTGTGAATCCCTGTGCTCTCCCCAAGTCTTGCCCTTAATTCTGCCATATTGAGATTGATGGTCAGGAAAGACTTCTCAGAGGTCTTGGAGGGGAGCTGGAGTCTGTCCCTAGAGAAAGTTTGTGCAAAGGCCCAAAGGCACTCAGGTGTTTGGGAGAGTTAGCTGAGGGGTGTTTGCCAAGAGATGGGAGAACAAAGGGGTGGGCAGCTGAGGAGTGGGTAGGGCATGAAGGTCAGCTCAGGCAGGCACTAGGAGGCTTTCAGACCCTGCCACGTTGCCGCCAAATCATGCCAGCCCCAGGTGTCCCACCTCCAGGGTACTTCTTCATGAATCAGCCATTTGAAGCCCCAACCCCAGAAGGAGGGTCAGATGGAGCTAGGAGAAAATTATGGGTTCTGGGCGCTGAAGGCAGCTGGGCTGAAGGCTGGGCCTGGCTGTCTGCTGGAAAGGCTAAGTCAGATACTGTCACAGCTGTGCAGGGTTGGGTATCCTCATACCCAGGGAGGCCACTGCCCAAGGTCACACAGCCTTTGATGTTGGGCTGCCACAGGGGGATCTCCTAAGTCCCCTTACCCTCATCTGTCTGTCCTCCATGCCAATGCTGGCAGCTCTGTTCCAGGACCCAGCAGAAGTCCCTGCTGCGGGAGGGGATTTAGGTAGCAAGAATGGGTAGTGTTATGGGAGGAGATGGAGGAAAGGATATTGTCAACAGAAGCAGCAGCGCAAGCAAGGTCCAGGAGACTGATACGCTCACAGAACTTGTGTTGGGAGGAGGCTGAACTTGGAGGGTCTTGGAGAGTGGACTCTAGGAAAGGGGCATGGTGGTGGTGGGGGGGGAGTTGGAAAATAAGGTGGCCCTGCTTACACATGACCCCATTTGAGTGTCCTGACCTGCTGTGGGAAGTCCACATTGGGGCCACAGGTTGTGCCTGGTAGTGGAAACTAGATGTGTAAGGTCAATCACAGGGGAGAAGGGAGGCCCAGAGAGGTTGAAAGAGCTGCCTGGGGCCACACAATGAGGCAGTGGTGGCCGGTGGGGAAGCAGGCTAGGAAGGCTGCTTTTCATCACTGTTTCCTCACAGGACACTGACAGAACTTCTGAAGCAGCCAGGCCCCCAGGAGCCACTGCCTCCACCTCTGGGCCCACCGCTGGGTAGCTGTGTCCAGGTGCAGATGGGTGATGGCCTCCCCCGGGGCTCCCCTCACAACAGCATAGGTGAGTAGGCTGGTGAGCGGGACTTGCTGATCTACAGCATCAGGCCTCCCTTGTCTAACATGGGCCTGGGAGCAAGGGAAGGGGTATGCTGAGGGGCAAGAGGCTCTGAGCAGACTGCTTCCCAAATGGAAACGAGCTGCCTGCCTCTACAGGTGTGTAAGTGGGGGCTGGGCAGCCTGTTCAGCTCCCCTTGGTGGAGAGAAACCCTCTGAGGGGTCCTGCAACCTCCAGCCTCAAGGACTCTGTGAGAAAGGTTCCACATTCAGGGATCCCTGGCTCAGGCATCGGTTCTAGGCTCTCGTTCAGCACCCGGGGGTCGGCCTGACCAGGTTCTGTGGCCTCCTGTGGGCCTTTTCCTCCAGGCTGGAGTCTTCTTGGCCTCTAGTAGTCAGGCTTGACTGCACCCCCCCCCCCAAACTCCCCTATGTGGGATTCTAATCCTCAGACATTACCTCCATCTCCACCAGGAGCAGGTCCTGGGGGACTCAGTGCCTGGCTCAAGCTGAACATGCTGGCGAGTCATCCATTAGTTTAGCACCCACTCAGGACTGGCTGCTATTCGTTACTATGAGCCAGGCCCTGTTCCTGGCGCTGGAGATTCTGCCTCGAAGACAGGTTCCACTTTCAGTCTCGCTCAAATAGCCCCCAACTTAACTGCGGTTGGGGAGAGGGCTTCGAGGAGGTGGGAGTGTAGGTGCAGAGTGTCCTCGAGTCTCATCTCCCCCCTCCCGGCTCTAGACAAGAAACGCCACAGCAATGTGCCCCTGGGGTCGGCCACACTGGGACCCCCGCGCGGCCCCCGACTGCAGGGCGGAGGCAGCATGACGCAGCAGCCGGGCTACGCCAAGTACGCCACCCTCAAGGCAGCCGGACTCAAGGCCTCGGGTGAGTGCCGTTTGTGCGGGTAGCGCGGGGCCCACCGGGGTGCCAGGATCCCAGCTTTGCGGGTCTGCGCTCCAGCCAGTTTCTGTATGGCGCCTACGCCTCAGTTGTACCCCATCCCTGACTAGGCAGACTGGCTGGGACCCTAGCGGGACCTCGAGCCCGGGCGAGAAAGTCGCGCCCCAGGCGGCCTATCCGCGCCCCGCCCCGCCCCGCCCCGCCCCGCCCCGCCCCGCCCCGGCCCGGCCCGGCCCGGCCCGGCCCGGCCCGGAGGGGCGGAGGCCCCGCCTCCCAGGCCTGACCCCGCCCCGGAGGGGTTGAGGCCCCGCCTCCCAGGCCTGACCCCGCCCCCCGACTCGCCCTGCTCTGTCTCCACAGAGGCTCCCCCGCAGGACTTCTACCAGCATTTTCCAGCGCCCGCCCCCGCCCCACTGACCCTTCCGGCGCGGGCCCTGCGGCCCCCAGAGGACTTGCCCGCGCTGTTGGACGCCTGCCCCTGGGCCCCGCCCGGCTACGCGCCCCCCGCCGGCCCCGCCCCCACGGGCCACTGCAAGTCCTGGACCGCCAGCCGCCCGGCCCGCCCCACCCCCCGCGGCCACCTGGCGGCTCAGGCCTCCCCGCCTCCCCGGCGGTCCGGCCACCCGCCCCGGCACGGGGAGAAGCCGCCCAAGGCCTTCGGCCCGCAACCCCCTGTCCTTTACGGCTGCGCGGTTCGCGGACCCCGACACCTGAGCACCAACAGCAAAACTGAAGTCACCGTATGAAGACGGGGCTGCTGGTCTTTCAGAAGCATTCCATCTGCCAGGGATCCGCCATTGGCCTGGTCCAGGGGCCCAGGCCACGGGGGTGGAGTGGGATGGGGTGGGATGGGGTAGGGGCGCTGTCCGCGAAGGGCCTGCCCTTCCCCTGCCCAAACTGGATTGGGGGCTTTGGAGCCTGCAGGGTTAAGGAGGGGCCTGTCCTAGGAACCCTAGGGCCCGGGTTCCTCATGTAAATAAACCCTTTTCTGTGGCTCCCATTCCTGAGAATAAAGGGGCCCAGGCTTGGCCCTGAGAGAGGCTGAGGACACAGCATGTGTAAAAGCAGAGGACTGTTCCTGAGGGCTCTCGGTTGTGTTCTAGGATGCGATGCGGGAAGAAGCGGCTGGAGGGGATGGTCAGGGCTGAATGCCAGGCTTAACGTCAACACCAGTGGACCTATGGGAGGGCAGCAGTTAGGCCCTAGCCATCTTGAGGCTCGGGCACAGGTGAGAGGACTGGAGGGTCCATGCCCACCATGGAGAGTGGGTGAGCACCCTCTCCAGTGGATCACACACTCTACAGCCTGAGTTGGCTAAGCCAGGCTGATCCTCATTGACAAAGTCTGGCACTGGGCCGGCCCCTGGCCTACAGGCCACTTGGTCAACTTGGCCCAGAGCCAACCCCCTAATGGGTGTGGGCAATGGGCCGCCGGGTGGACAGCTGGTTGCTCAGGATGGCAGAGCCTCCTCCCAGTAGCTGCTGTGGAGGAGAAGGGGATGGTGCTGCTGGACCCTGAGACTAGTCAGTGCCCCACAGGGGTGCAAACACCATACATGCTTGGCACTGCCAGCTCTCCCCTTTCTTGCCAGGCAGGCTCCAGGTACCAGGGCAGTGCCAGCAGCCTGTGTACACTGACTGTGACAAGTACTATTAAGGAGGTTGAGGGCTGGGCTGTGACCCTCGTTGTGTGACCTCAACAATGCCACCCACTTGGGCCTTTTCCCCGTGTACCCTAGGCATGGTATACTGTTTTAATAACAATGGCCACCATTTGTTGCTGTTTCTTTCATTTAATCTTCACAGAAGCCCCATGGGTATGTGGCTTTACAAATAAAGAAAACTGACACCTAAGTAACTTGCCAAGGTAATTTAGCTGACTCCAGTTTAGGACTCTTGCATATTCTGCCGCTACTGTAACCCTGATGGTGGAATGGCAGGCAGTGGGTAGTTGGAGGAGGGAAGGTTATGAACATGTGTGTTGGTAGAGAGGACTCCTCCTTCCAGGATATAGGCAGTCTCAGACCTTCCTCCCACTGGGTGGGCTGCCTTGAGGCCCTCAAACCCACCAGCTCTCTCCTTGCAGGATGGTCCACCTCTGTGTAATGGCTGTTGAGGAAACCAAGGCCCAGAAGCCCCAAGACAGAGCAGAGCCTAGAGTCCATGGTCCTGCTTGCAGCGAGGGTCCAAATGGCTTGTTGGGGAGATAGCCTCACACTCTCAACCCAGGGTGGGGGTGGGTTGCTCCAGGTCCTATCCTGCAGCTGTGTAGAGCTGGGGGAGGTGGAGTGGGTACTGAGTCATGTAGCCAGCCCAGACTCACAAAAAAGGATTAGATTCCTGAGCACATTGGCCACCCACAATCACCCACCCTAGTGACGAAAGCCCTGGCTGTGCGGTGCTGGGGGAGGTGGTCTCTACCTCTCTTCTCTTTCTAAGTCCCAAGGGCCCTGGATCTCCATCCCAGAGGGCCAGGTGCAGCCCAGGCCACCAGTGGAAATGCTGCTTTATTAACTGTGGACAGGGACCACCTGCAGCTGGACGTCTCCTAACTGCTCTTACCCTTGGGACAGTATGGCCTGCTGTGACTGACCTTCAGAGAAGGCAGTGGCTAAGAGAGCTGAGGGGCCTGGGCCCATTTCTCAGCCAGGCTGGGTGACCGTGAATTTCAGCCCCCAGGCTCATTACCACATGGCACTCCGGACTCTATCTCCCGTCAGCCCAGCTCTACCATCCCCACCACTCCTGTGGTCTGTCTGGCTCCTCACCAGCCTCACAAGACACTTACCATAAACTGGCACACTCAAACCAGCCAACCTATGGGGACTATAGCCAAAGGCAGGGATTGTCATCCCCATTCTGTGCATGTGGAAGTCCTGACTGAGGCCACATCCCACCCAAGGTGACCCAGCTGGGAATTATAAGAGTTGGACTTAGATTTGACTTGTGGGCCAGTTAAGTATCAGAGGCTCACTGCCTCTAGGGAGGATGGGGAAACTGAGGGGCAGCCCATCCAATAAGGGAGGGATGTATTTCAGAGGGGTGAACATAGAAGGGCTTAGCACCCCAAATCCCAAAGAACTGCTGCTGTCAGCCAAACTGCCAGCTCTTTGTCCTGGATGCAGTGACCAGGTCCTGAACCAGCCCTGGAGTTGTGCCAAGCAGCCAGTGCTGGAAGGAAGGGGCCAGGTGCATGGGTCGGGGAGGGAGCTCCATTCGAATAAAGCTTCCAGGGCCACTAAGCACAGAGGGAGGGGCTGTCCTCATCCCTGGCCCACTGGAGGCCAAGCCATACAGCCACCTGGCTAGTCACCAAGCGGTCACACTACAAACCCTCATACACCTCATGCTGGGTGGTACCAATCTGTGTTTATTGAATAACCTACATCCAGGACATGGTGAATGATTCCACATCAAGGCTGCTATAGGTGTATCCCCCCTTTAAGTGGAAAACCAACCCCTCCCACCTCTAAACAATAATGAGAAAGGCACAGTATATACACATGACACAGGGCTGGCTCACCCAGTGGCCAGGGGCCGTCAATGACAGTGAAGGGGGAGGGCCAAGAGAGAGAAAATGGGCATGGTCCAAGCTGACTGTTCTGACCTGCACTCCTTGTCAGGGGAGCCCCTGCTGTGTGCATGCCCCAATCTGTGCTGGGCCTCTGCCACTCTCCACCCTACCCAGCCTGAGGGGATGAGAAGCTCAGGGAGGGAGGGAGAACAGTCCCCTCTCGGCCTCCCAGGAGGCTGTGGGTTGCCAAGCAGTCCTCAGGCCCTGGAGAAACAACCTCAGAGGAGGCACCAGCCAGGGAATCCAGAAAAGTGGGACCACTTTTCCTCCTAGGACCCAAGTTGAGGCAGGAGGCCTCATTCCTGGTGCCCACCCCAAAATGGGGCTTGTCACTGGGGGCTAGTCCCTACCACCCTGGCTTTTTTTTCAGGCCAAGAATTAGGGATAAAACAGAGCACAGAGGTAGGAGTTGGGTGGGAGGGAACTGAGAACCCACGCCGAAGACCCCAGTCCCCAGTCCCAATGGGTGGCTTCATCTCTCCCAGTCCCTGGGCCTACCCCGAGCTTGGGCCGAAATCCCAGGGGGTGTGGGAGTGGGAAGGAACAGGACAATTAAGTAAGATACCATTTATTTTTTAAAAAATTAAAAAAGAATGCCGACATTATTTCATCCATTCTCAGGCTCGCCCTCTGCCTCCCTATCGCCTCCCCGGGACTGGGCTCCCCTCCTCCTTCCCTGGCTGTCCTGTGTGATAGAGAAAACAATGAACTGGCTTTGTCAGGCACAGGGAAGGGGACGCAGACCCAGGGAGAGAAATAAAGATGCCACAGCAACTTAGTACTGCATCACGGCAAACCCAAGCACACTGATATAAAAACATTCATATAAAAAAGGGGGAAGAGGGCATGCTGGGCACAGTGCCAAGGGTGAAGTGCTCTGGTACCCAGAGATCCATGTCCCCCACAGGAAAAGCCTGATAAAAAACAAGGAAGCTGGAAAGGGGAGAAGAGACATACAGAGAAAGAATTTTGGAAGGGCTGGAGACAGGCTGGGTAGCCTCGGAGATCCCCCTGCTGCTTTCAAGTCAGGGTACCTCCCCAATTCCTGCCCGCTCTGTCTTTCCTCTCAGGCCCACTGGGCCCTGGACCATCAGCATCTACCCATATCAGCTATAATGGGCTTTGCCCAGGGGTCCACTGGACTGAGGTAGTCCAAAAGCCTTGGCAGGTGACACCTCAGAAGACAAGACTCATCTCCCAGCTTCTAGAGAGAGAAGAAAGAGACAGAGAGATAGAGGAGGGTGGGAGATTGAGAGAGAGGAGAAAGAGAGACAGAGATAGAGGGGAGGGAGAGAGACTGAGAGACAGAGAAGAAGGAGAGAGACTGAAAGACAGGAAAGTGGTGGGCCGAGGTGGGCATGGCCCAGTGGTCAGGAGGCAGCGATGGCGGTGCCACCCCCCAGCTTGACAATCATCTGCTGGCAGTCGTTGCAGGAGCGCCGGTCACCCACCTTCTCCAGGGTGCGAGCTGCCTCGGCCAGCAGCACTGCCCGCTGGCCCGGGGAGGAGAGGAAGGACAGGGGAAGGTGTCGGCAGGCCAGCAGGATGGCGGTGGCCCGCTCTCGCTGGCCAGGCCAGGCGTCCACCTCTCCTGTGGGAATGAGGGATAGGTATGGGAACTGCTCGCTGAGAGCCTGCCAGAATGCAGGTGCTACTCCGAGGGCTCAATGTGGACTCATTTCTTCAGTCCTCACACCCGCCGGAGGAAGGTGGGCCCCAGTGCCCTCCCCAGTTTACAGGGGAGATGAGACGAACTTGGCTGGCATCATACGGCTATCAAGGAGGGGAGGCACTGAGAAGGAGTCATGCAGTCTGGCTCCAGGGCCCATGCTGCTACTCCAGCTCCTGCACTGGGACAATATCCCCAGCCCTCCGCTCCCCATTCCTGAGGCTGGAACCAAAACAACCCGACCCAACAGTGCCTTTGTGAACCCTCCCAGGCAACCCCACCAAGTCAAGCTTTGGGCTTTTCTCATTTTCACACCACCTCTGAGAACACCGCTGAGGTCAGTGCTGGCCAGGTGCCCCTGCTCAGGCAGGGCCCACACCAGGCCTTGGGGCTGGGGTGCCAATGGACTCACCGTGCTTGGTGCTCTGAGTAGTGCGCCGCCGCAGGCTGTGCTCCAGCAGCTGGTGGGTGCGGGTGGGGCTGGCTCCTGCCATCAGGCGCACG